TGGAAGGAAGACCTGGAGACCTGCTTCCGGAAGGGTGACATCCTGGATGAACACTCGTGGGCCTTTCTGCTCTGTCATGTGGGATGACTGTGAGTCAAGATCTGCTCCAAGAGACCTTGTGGCAACAACAGTGCAGAGTTGTCGTAATTAGCCGAGTGATGTTAACATTTGACTTAATTGCTGTACCTCAAAGGATCACTAGAGTCAATCATTTATTCAACCCATGCACCAACTCTGTACTTGGTACTCAGCTCGGTGAAAGGCAGATAGCAGTAAACCCAGAGGGATTAAAGAAAAAAGGCTTATGTTTAAGCCTAAACCCACCCCCACCATCTCATGGAGCCAGTTGTGACTCCTAGTGGTCGTCTGTTGGGTGTCCAAGGCTTGAACTGGCTGCTGGATACTAATCACTGACCTTTAGGTTAGCAGCTCAGTACATAACACCCTGTGCTACCGAACCCCTTATGTGTAGGTGATTTCTAATGCTGTGCATGTTGGACCCGACCCACAGCTTACCCTCCAGTGGGTTTTCAGAGCCAGTGAATCCCACGGGAGGAGATGGCACATCCTTCTGCCTTGGAGCAGCTGGTGGATTCAAACCGTGTGCCTTTGAGAATTCAGCACAGCTTTCTACTACAAGGCCACCAGAACTCCTAACTACTTCTATATACAATAACCCATTTACTATTAATAACAATAGTCTAATAGAGACATAAGTATTGTTCCCATCTTCCAAGTGAGAAAACTGAGAGACTTAACAAATTTGCCCAAAACCCTCAGCCAAAGTGCTGGGGCAGGGTTGAGGCTGAACTTGTCTTTAAAAAATCCGAGATCTTTAGATTTTAAGTACTGGCTTTCTTAGGGAGTGGAGGTAGGAAGGGAAGATTTCATTTTTATTTGATTAGGCCACACTTTTTAATTACTGTGATGTGTTGTTAGATGTGGTCGAGTTGAGTAGGACTCCTAGCGACCCTGTGAACAAAAGATCTGAACCCAATTCTGTCCTGCTTCTCACTTCCTGACACATTGCTCACTGCACAGACACCACGTCAGACCAACTGGTTGAGGGGCTTCCTCTCCTTTGCTGACCCTCCACCCTTCCTGTGCTGTTGTTGTTGTTATGTGCCATCGAGACGCCTGTGACTCATAGCGACCCTGTATGTACAACAGCCCTGAACTCTGCCCTAACCTGTGCCAATCTCACTGTCTCTGACATTTCCATCCCAATTACTCTAGTCACTGAATCAATCCACCTCATAGAGAGTCTTCCTCTCCTGCGCTGTCCCTCCACCCTCCCAAGCATGATGTCCTTCTCCAAGAACTGGTCCTTCCTTGCAACATGTCCAAAGTAATACATGTTTCACATAAGCACATTAAAGTGTTAGGGGTTTCCCAGACCCTACACATATGCCAGAATGCTGGGGCCTTGGTGGTAAGGAGTTGCGCTGCCCACCCAAAGGCATCCAATTCAAATCCACCAGTTGCTCCATGGGAGAAAGATGGGCAGTTTGTCCTTGTGCAGTTTACAGCCTCTGAAAATCCACTGGAGGGTCAGCTGTGGCTTGGTTCCCGCTCGGCAGCACACAGCGACAAGGCATAGACCAAGAAGCAGTTGTCCAGAAAGAACAAGGGATTGCTTCGTGGTTTAAAATCAGGAAGGGTGTACATCAGGGCTGTATCCTTTCTCCATCCCTGTTCAGTCTGTATACTGAGCAAATCATTCAAGAATCTGGACTGTGTGAAGAAGAAGATGCCATCAGGATTGGAAGGAGACTCATCCACAAACTGTGTTATGCATTTGACGCAACCTTGCTTGAGGAACGTGAAGTCTTGAAGCACGTACTGAAGAAGATCAAAGACAACAACCTTCAATATGGATTACGTCTCAACGTCAAGAAATCCACAGTCCTCACCACTGGACAGTAGGTGGAATCATGATACAGAGAGAAAAGATTGGAGTCATAAATGATTTAAGTTTATTCGAATCCACAGTCAACGTCCATGGTAGCAGCACTCAAGAAATTTATATATATGTGTGTGTGTGTGTGTGTGTGTGCGTATGTAATCAAATTATGTTGAAATTGTTCCTTGGAGGCAAGGATTTTGACTCTCTGTCTCACATACTTTGGGCATGTTGCCAGGAGGGATCAGTCCTTGAAGAAAGACAGCATGCTTGGAAGGGTGGAGGGACAGTGCCAGAGAGGAAGACTCTGAATGAGATGGATTGACACAGTAACGGGAGTCATGAGGGTAGGTGTATCAGAGATGATGAAATTGGCCCAGCATAGAGCAGGGTTCAGAGTTACTGTGTATAGGGTCTCTCAGAGTCACGGTTGGCTTGACAGCACATTGCAACAACATTAAGGAAATATATTGTGGAGGACCTCTTTTAAAGTTCTAAAGAGCAAGGATATATAAAGATGTAGCTGACCCAAGCCGTAGTATTTTCATTTACTTCCTATGCATCGGAATAAGGAACACTGATGAAGAATCAGTGCCTTTAAATTGTAGCGTTGGCAGCGTATATTGAATATGCCACGGACTGCCAAAAGAACAAACAAATCTTTCTTGGAAAAAGTGCAACCAGGGTGCTCCTTTGAAACAAGGAAGGTGAAAATTGATCTCACGTGCTTTGATCATGTTGTCGTGAGGGACCAGTCCTTGAAAAAAGACATCATGCTGGGGAAGGTATAATGTCAGAGAAAGAGTGGAAGAATCCACAAGATAGATTGACAGTGATTGTTGCAGTGGATTTGATCAAGGTGGACATCATGCAGTGGTGCAGGACTGAACAAGTTGGTAATATATTGTTCACAGGGTCACTTAGCGTCCTGGTTGGCACCTAAGAACAACAGCAGCATGTACCTAATCGTGCTACACTTGTAAACAGAGGGCCAAAGTCTTACCAAGATTGCCTGTCTTCACGTGATAGAGAATGGGTCACATTCGTCTTCCCTTATGCTTTGGTTCATTTAGCATTTGAAGGGGCTTTACTGTCAGTCTTTTGAGTGGTACGAGCTCAGTTTTGTTTTTTAGGTTATACATTTGTTTTGGTTTTTTTACAGTGTGAGCCAGTTCTGAAGTAGTAAGTTTTTCTCCATGACCCTTAACACTGTAAAAAAAGTAACTAAACTAATAGATTATATCCGTTTTTGTCAAGTGTGTTGAGAATGGAATTGTGTATTCACAATGATCTACCTTTTAAAAATCTAGTGTTGTTTAGGGCAATGAGCTTGTTATTTTGAATTTTGAAGAAATAGAAATAGACGTAAACCTTCCACGTCCTTTCTTCCTTTTATGTCCGGCCCCTCCGCTGGCAGCCTCTCCAGCTCTCATTCTTCTTTGCTCTCATTTCTCTGTAGTTTCTGTGGCTGCATTAAGTTACAGTAGATTGTTGTTGTTGTTATTATGTTCTGTAGAGTCAGAACCTACCCATAGCTGACCCTCTGCTGGGTTTTCAGAGGCAGCTAAATTGCATGTGAGTAGATTTCCCATCCTCCTCCTGCAGAGCAGCTGGTGGACTTGAACTCTGTGCCTTCGGGATTGCAGCGCAGCTTCTCACCACTTTGATTAATGCTGTTCTGAAAGACCGAGTAGTTGAGAATCTATGACATTTCATCTGGATCCAGTTGGCAACATAGTGGAAGAATCTCTCTGCCATTCTTTTATTACCTAGTCAGAACTAACTGATCCAAGCCGTAGCTACCTGATTCTAGTGGGAGATTTCAGAGGCTGTAAATCTCACAGGAGATTGCTCATCTTCTTCCCTCAGAGAGGCTGTTAGATTCGAACTCTGTGCCTTTGGGGTTGAACAGTGCAACTGCCTAAGCACTAGGCCCCCAGGCCTGCCTGTGGAAGAATAATAGTATTGGTATTTTATTAAAGCCTTCAGAGCTGTTACCTGATATTTTAAATAGGGGGGGAAAATGATTTTCCTAAAGTCATTATGACACCCTGGTTTTATAAGTCTTTATTTTTTGTTCTTTACATCTGTAAAGTAGGTCACCAAGAAAAGAGTGTTCAATCACTCTGTTTATTGTTAGCCTTTCAGCAGACTATTGTATTTATATATTTATTTTCTGCAACAACGTCAGATACTGTAGTAAGATTTGGAACCATGGACTGTTCAGAGGGTGTAAAGGCCTATTTTTAGCAGCTCTTAGTTCTTGTTTCTTTTTGCTGAAAAGGGGAAGAGGAAATTTTATTGGTTTTTATTTTGTTTTGAGATCCAAAGACCATTTCATTCACTCAGTGGTTGGGGTGGCGGCATGAGGGCTGCTGGAGAACTGGTGTGAGGAACGCTTGCTTGTTGTCCGTCATGCCTTTTCTTTTGAAAATGTAATTGTTTTCAGACGCATTGAATTGAGTTCTCTCATTATAAAGCATTCCTTTGAGTTGTGGTTCTAAGAAGTGGATCCACTAATTCTTATTTTAATCATCGTCGTTGTTGTTGTTCTCTACTGTAAAGCTGTAACTACCGGTATCTGACCCTCCGGCCAGTTTTCATACAGAGGTATTTAATCACATAGGAGGAGGAGGAGGAAGGGGATTGCCTATTCTTCTCCTGCAGAGCAGCTGGTAGCCTCGAACCATGTGCATTTGGGATTGCAGCAAAGCTTCTTGCCACTGTGCCGTCAGAGCTCCCTTTCAATAATTAAGGGGTGCTAATGAAACTTCTGGGTACTGGAGGTAGACTCACAGGACTCGGACTCAAACTCATTCACAGTACACTCAAAGTGTGTGAGATGACATTTGACCGTCCTCGCCTCTGCCTCACACCCTGATCGAGTCAGTCCTAACCTTCCTGATGACCTAGGAAGATGTGGTGTCCAGCTTACAGGACTCACACTTCCCGAAAGCAGAAGCCCTTCCCCTGTGGTCTATGTTCACCCCATCCTGATCTAGCAAACAGACAGGAGAGGTTAGCTGGGGACCCGGGTTTTCCTACAGGAAACTTTTGATGATGTTATAATGTTACTTTCCCTTTTTTCCCTTTATAGCAATAGGCGAGTATGAAGACCTTAGAGCGGAGAACCAGAAAACAAAGGAAAAGGTTTGTACTTTCCCCTATATGTTACCCCTCATATCTTATCCCCCATATCTGACATGTTCCCCTCATATCTGACATGTCCCCCTTATATCTGACACGCTCCCCCCCATATTTGACATGTTCCCCTCATATCTTATATGTTCCCCTCATATCTGACATGTTCCCCCTTATCTGACATGCTCCCCCATATCTTATATGTTCCCCTCATATCTGACATGTTCCCCCATATCTTACATGTTCCCCCATATCTGACATGTTCCCCTCATCTCTGACATGTTCCCCTCATCTCTGACATGTCCCCCTCATCTCTGACATATTCCCCTCATCTCTGACATGTTCCCCTCATATCTGACATGTCCCCCTCATATCTGACATGTCCCCCTCATATCTGACATGTTCCCCTCATATCTGACATGT